TTCTTCTTCTTCTTGCTTTACGGCGGATCGCAGACTTATAAGTGCATTACCGCCACCTATCTCTCAAGTGGACCATTGACACTCCTAATTGAGATTGTAGATAGTGTCAATGGTCCATTTGAGAGATAGGTGGCGGTAATGCACTTATAAGTCTGCGATCCGCCGTAAAGCAAGAAGAAGAAGAAGAAGACGTGTCACGTGCCGGCTGTGTCGAGGACGCGCTCAGTGCAGTTCAGACAGTTCAAACATTGCAGTGCATCAGAGGTAAAAAACGATATAAATATTGTTCATTTTCTTTCACAGACCGATCGTTTTGTGTCTTTACACATCAATGTATCGTCACGAGCCGCAGGGTTTAATTTGGTTAACTTAATTCGTTTTTTTTTTACTCTCAAAGCCGTGATTCCCATTCACCTCCATTATAAGACTGACAGACTGCAACAGTTTGACTTAAAAATCTTCGTTTGTGTTCTACTGAAGAAACAAAGTCACCTACATCTTGGATGCCCTGGGGGTAAGCAGATAAACATACAATTTTCATTTTTGGGTGAACTATCCCTTTAATAACTATTTTTAACATAAAGCACGTCCCGCGCTTTATTTTCTCATTTATGCATGTTTATTATTCACTCCTAAATTGTCGATAACTTTAAGCAGTGCTGCGCGGATATGATATAAAGTTTGGTACAGCCAGCATGCAGGGAGCTGAAGCAGAGTGCTGAACACACACCGTCCTGCTGTTGCACGTCGACGCAACGCAGGAAATACAGCTTTTATTAAAACGCTTTCGTTCTTAAAGAGCAGGTCATATGGTATTTTAAAGTATCCTAATATTGTGTTGGAGTCACCTACAACAGGTTTAAATGCATCAAAGGTCAGAAAACATTGTAATTTTCTCAGAATATACATTTAATATTAGAGTCATTTGCCAATGATTTAGAAACGATTCGTTCCAAACAGGTTCGGAGCAAACCTCGCACTTCCATAAGCCTACTCTGCTCTGATTGGTCAGCTGGCCAAGAATATACATTTAATATTAGAATAATTTTTCAATGATTTCGAAATGATTTGTTCGAAGCAGTTCTGAGAACTGTAAACTCCTCCCTTCCATAAGCCTACTCTGCTCTGATTGGTCAGCTGGCCAAGTCTGTTGTGATTGGTCTTTCGCAATTCGAGTCCGAGCCCGAGTCCGAGGATGATACCAATGCAGTCGCTCAACCGGAAACTCCATGGCAAGCAGGATTTGATTAGGACGTTTCTCAGTGGTAAGTTTAAACTTTGTATGTGGTACTTTACTTGATGTGACAGCAGTTTTATTGCATTCATTATTATTATTATTATTATTGACTTATTTGAGGTGCACATGTGGGAACTGTATTATGGCGCTTTTCCACTGCATGGTACGGCTCGGCTCGGCACAGTTTGCATTTCCACTGCAGTTTAGTACCGCTTTAGAGTTGGCGGGATTATAGACATGTCGTTATAGTTGTGCCGCCTCTACTGCCGCGACCTCCTGAAAACTTTTTCATTCCGCGGCGTCCCATCAAGCTCTCGCTGGATCCGCTCCTCGGCTATCAACGAGAGGAACGTACGTACTTCCTCATCAGACCATTATTTTGTTGTTTAAAAGTAGGTGCGCTCGTTCGAAATTGTTGCGTTCGTTGTGTTCGATCCTCTCTGTGCTGATTAAATCTAGTGGGTCTCGTGTCGCAAGTTCAATGACGCAGGTAGTGACGATTCTCTCCGGCAAATCAGTGATCAGCAGGGTTTACATGTCACATTTTGGTAACGGTACGGCTCGCTTGGAACCTCAGCCGAGGTGGTACTAGCTCTCGCTGGATCCGCTCCTCGGCTATCAACGAGAGGAACGTACGTACTTCCTCAACAGACCATTATTTTGTTGTTTAAAAGTAGGTGCGCTCGTTCGAAATTGTTGCGTTCGTTGTGTTCGATCCTCTCTGTGCTGATTAAATCTAGTGGGTCTCGTGTCGCAAGTTCAATGACGCAGGTAGTGACGATTCTCTCCGGCAAATCAGTGATCAGCAGGGTTTGC